CTGCACATCCCTGCTCAGTAAACACAACAGCCAGAGTTTCACAATCAAATATTTATGCTAGCAAAAAAACATTTTACATAATCTTTAAACAGCTATGTCATCTCCCTATATTCATTCTCTGATCTTTCTGTTTTCAGTCAGGATTGGAGAATTTAGTGTATTTACAAAGAAATAAATATTATGGTGAAAACATCAGGCAGCTTAATAGTAGCTTTAGCAAAGTGCAAGAAGTATTTTTGTGTTCATGTTGTCAATTGCATAATATCTTCTGGACCATCATAAATTGAGGAACCTTGCTTGGATGCTTGCAGCACTGTGATAAATAGTTCACAGCTCCAATTCAAGCAACACTGGCTGCTGTCAGAACGGGAAGAGTTCATGACATCTCTGCCACAAATTCCAGCCCTGAAGCTCTGTGGGGTGATAGGGAGGGGACAGACTACCTAAAGGCCTGGTAGGCAGTGGCAAATTCATGATATTTCAGGATATTTCAGAATATTTTGGGATATTTCAGGATATTTCAGAATATTTCAAGATATTTCAGGATATATCAGGATATTTCAGGATATTTTGGAATATTTCAGGGTATTTCAGGATATTTCAAGATATTTTAGAATACTTCAGGATATTTCAAGATATCTCAGGATATTTCGGGATATTTCAGGATTTTTCAGGATATTCAGCATTCAGTGGAAAGCTGCTGTGATGGTGCTCACCAGGTGCTCTCAGAAGTGAAGGGTTGAACCATCCCTGCTCCCAGCTCTCTGACCATGCTCTGGCCCATGTCCTGGGCTAGGACACAGCCAGGATCTTTCTGAGCTAGTCTCTTGAGGCCCCCTCTGCTCCACAGTGGCAGAGACACTGCTGCCTCACCAGCTCCAGCTCAGAAAGCCTCTGTTTGTCCCAGGTGGTGGAGAGGAATATCTTGATTGTTTGCCATGTGAAAGCCCAAGCTCTTTTCTGTGCAATTCACCCCCAGGTGAGACCCCCAAGTCTCAGGCATGCAAAGAGAAGGTAATTTCTCTCCAGGTTCCTAAAGACCATGATGAGCTGGAGCTTTGCTGGTGAAGTCTCAGAGCAGGAGTTTCATATCTGCCCTGAATTCAGATGCATTAATGGCCAGTTCAGTGAAAATTCTTTCTCGGGGAAAGATTTCTTCTTCCATTCTCTATCACAAGGATGACTTCCTGGCTGTAGGGATCTTCAAAGGATGTCCAGAGTTCCTTGTGAGCCTTGGCTACTGGTTTCCTGTGCCCTTGGCTACTGCTTCCATACTCTGTATTGGGTATGAATGGAAGAATGAGCAACATATTTGTAAAATCAACTCTTTTTCCAGCCTTCCCACCCCTTCAGGGCTCAGGGTTATGCCAGCCTGGGGACATTCAGCACAGAGCTATGTGCCAGTACAGCTGTCCCTCCCCAGGGAACCTTGGACACCAACAGCTGCAGAGCACACAGCAAATTGTCACTGATCTGCACACGGGATGGGGTTCAGACCATCAGATCTGCCTTTCCAAAACATGCTGGGAAGATTCAAGAAATAAGGCCATGGCAGGAGGGGTCTTTTCCAAATGGAGCTCCAGGTGCTGGAGAAAAGAAATCAAAGACAAATCAGTGTCATTGCCAGAGGAGAGGACAGTGTGAGCAGACATGGCTGGCAGAACACCAGCTTTGGGGAAACTCCCCTTGTTTGGCACAGACATGTCACACACTGACCCCTCCAAGTCCCCACTGGGGTTTCACTGGAACTGCAGCTCAACTTGTTCTTTTTCCCAGAGTGGCAAATCTACATACAAACAAACAATCTGCTTTAAAATAAATCAGTTCCATAAACAATAGTGTTGGAAGATTAGAAGGGATGGCTTCCTGGGATCTGGTGAGCAGCTCAGAGCTGATATCCCTGTGACTCTGGGGTGTGACTTCTCAGTTCAAAGGAATTCCCTGCCATGACTAATTTATTCTGGCATTTAAGGCTCAGTTTCACTCAGTGCAGGCAAGATGACCTCGTTTACAACAGAGGTGCTTATAGCAGAGCTGGGAACAGGGGATGGGAAGCAGCTGAGGTCTCTGTGTGCCTGTGTCACCTTCCAGAGAAAGGTGGTGATGGAGCTGCTGGTGAGGCCCTTTTCAGAGCTGAGCAGTAGTGCAGACACAGCCAGGACACCAGGGCTGGGCAATGTCAGCTCTGGAAACTCCTGAGGACCTCGTGGGGGGATAAATATTTCTGGGCTACCTCATGCAGGCAGCAGGACTATTTATTAAGCCCAGAAAAATGGCTCAGAATCTGTGGTGGCATCTCAGTCAGTCCTGCCCCTGCCTCTGAGAGACAACTTTCCTGTTTCCTGAGGACACCAAGAGAACGTGGCCAGGGCTGACTCTCACACAAGGATCATCACAGGGGAACACCAGCTCAGGGCTGTGAGTTCAGCAGTTGAGCAATTTGCTGAGATGAGTCAACAAATTAGAGATTGTTAGAGGTTGTGTCACCTCCTAAGAAAGATGTGTCTCCATCCCCCTCTGGTATCGAAAGGACAAAAAGGAAAAGGAAAAGGAAAAGGAAAAGGAAAAGGAAAAGGAAAAGGAAAAGGAAAAGGAAAAGGAAAAGGAAAAGGAAAAGGAAAAGGAAAANAAAGGAAAAGGAAAAGGAAAAGGAAAAGGAAAAGGAAAAGGAAAAGGAAAAGGAAAAGGAAAAGGAAAAGGAAAAGGAAAAGGAAAAGGAAAAGGAAGGAATGGGAAACTCCAAAGGGAGCAGGGATGCCTGAGTGGAGCTTTGGCCAGCAGGAGCAGTAAATCAAACAGGAGTTTGCAAAGCAAAAAGTACAAACCCTGCAGTTTGAGACACAGAGTCCTGCCTTTTCTTGAGCTGTTCATGCCATGGTTCTGCTCTGGGGTGGAGGTTGTTTGTTGTTGTGATTGTGATGTTAACTCCATTAGAGAGGACATTTCAAGTACAGTGGACTAAACATTAGGAAAAATTATTAAGGAACAGGATCTGGCCACCTTGCTGGATAATACAGTAGAACTCTGTTTACCAGCTCAGCTCAATGCTTGGAGATCAATTTCTTTAAATCATCTCTCCCTTGCCAGTGATTAGGAAAATCCACTCCATCAGCTGTGGCACGAGCAGGAAATCACATCCAGCCCATAGCAAGCAGGGAGCTCAGCTCAGGACAGCCCCCTTAACCTCAGCTGTCAGGTAACAAGCAATAGGCCAAGAGGAAATGGCCTGGAGTTGTGCCAGCATTTAGGAAAAAATTTCTTCACTGGAAGGATGTTTAGGCATTGAAACAGGCCAGCCAGGGGAGTGGTAGAATCCCTGGAAATGTTCAATGAATGTGTGGATTGGCTGCTGAGAGACATGGGCAGGGGTGGGCTTGACATGCTGGGTTGGCAGCTGGACTTGGTGATCTTAGAGGGCTTTTCCAACCTGAATGATTCTGTGCTTCTGTGGTTCTGTCCCATGGACTACATGAGGGTGAGACACCCCAGAATTTCTCTGCTGTACTGAGACTCTGATGAATCAGAGCCTCTGGGGAGATGAGTGTAGAAGCCCTGAAATTCCTATCCCTAACCCAAACTGTTTAAGAGGACTTCCCAGAAACCATGGGATTAAAATATAGTAAAATTAAAAAAAAAAAAAAACCAACAACAACAAAAAAAAATCCTAAGAAAACTTCAAACCGATCCTGAAGTATTTTTATGACTTAGAGAGAATTTAGGCAGCTTCCTAGGTGAGACCCACACGTCAGGGAAGCTGAGATCTGTCCTTGACTTAGCTTGGTTTGTGCTACTTACACAGTAAAAGGTGCCAGCAGATCACCCACTCCAGTGAACAGATGTGGGCTCAGGGAAGGGGAGCCTCAAAGGGTCTGCTTCTCTTTATTTTGCATGTTTGCAATCAGCTCCTCTCCTCTGGGAGCATGTTTGCTTCATGGGGAGGGATCCTCCACTACAACAGCATCTCAGCCTCCTTAGGATCGCTGTGGCACAGGGAGCTAAGGCTCAGCCCTGCCTCAATGCCCCATGTCTGTGTGCTAAAGCTCAGCCCTGCCTGCAGATCCCGTGTCCATGTGCCAAAGCTCAGCCTTGCCTCACATGCCCCATGTCCATGTGCCCAGGCTCATCCCTCCTTGCCTATCCCGTGTCCCTGTGCCAAGAGCTCAGCCCTGCCTGCAGATCCCGCGTCTGTGTGCCCAGGCTCAGCCCTGCCTTGCTTATCCCGTGTCCCTGTGCCCAGGCTCATCCCTGCCTTGCTTATCCCGTGTCCCTGTGCCAAGAGCTCAGCCCTGCCTCGCCTGCCCCGTGTCTGTGTGCCACAGCTCAGCCCTGCCTTGCAGATCCCGTGTCCGTGTGCCGCAGCAGCACACGGGAGCATCCCAGGTGGATAACTCCTCGGGAAAGGGGTGTGCAGAGCAGCCCGGCTCTGGGCACACCTGTGCGGCCGCAGAGACACCCAGGTGACACCTGAGCAGCCCCGTGCTCACCCCTGATCCCTGCGGGCACTCTGTGCTCCTGGCCGGGAGCGCATCCAAGGCAGCGCTCAGGTGGAAAGACCTTCCCAAAGGCATCCTCTGCCCGGGACACTCATCCCGATCCCAGCCCTTCCCTCACCTTTGGGAGCTGAGCCCCCCCAGCCCCAGGGAGATGCGGGACCCGTGTCCCACCACGCTGCAAAGAGTTAAGCCCTGGCTCTGTTGATATTTCCAGCGGCTCCCAAAGTCGGCGGAGACGGGGAGCGCCCGGATTGGCTGCGTACGGCCGGTAGTAATTAGGATCAGATATCAAACTTCTGTCTTTGCTAAGACCCTTTCCGATAGTCGCTGCTCCCCGCTAGACGATGACATCAGCCAGGACACCCAGCTGCTGGTAGTAAACTCCGAGCGGGAGGAGGCTCCCGCCGGCTGCACGTTAATTAGTTCAACACAGCACAGGGGGAGCAGTCGGTGTCTGTGCAGGGTCACTGCTGGATGGGACCAAATCTTACAAAGCCACTTGCTGCTCCTTGCCAGCCGGCTGTAAAAGCGCCCCGAGAGTCCAGGAGAGCTGGATGAATGCTGAGCACCAGGCACGCTTTGGTCGGCTGTTCCCTGTGGAGGAAGTTAATGGTTTAAGTGAGGGGCGTCTGGATCTGCTCCCCGAGTCACCATGACTCTCCTGGGGTCTGAGCACTCCTTGCTGATTCGGAGCAAGTTCAGATCAGGTAGGGAAAACCTTGAGATTTCTCTTAAAACTTCTCTCTCTGTCAAGCCGTAGGCACAGAGTGTTTTGCATTAAGTGTTGGGAAGCAGCATGTGAGCAAAAGACTCGAGGGGTTGTAGAGCTGTCATGGCTTTGCTGTTCCCGAGGCTGTTCCACAAGTGGAGAGACTCATCTTCCTTCCTCTCTCTTGCTTTTTTTCCTCCTGGTCTTTTGCTGTCTTTGATTTATGTCCGTGGTTGATTTGGGTAAAACTGCAGCTCCCGGTTCTCCTGCTCTGGCCCTGCTGGGAAGGATTTGGGCAGGAAGCCAAAAGGGCATCTGGGATAAACAAGGTGCCTGCTGCAGTGTGTATATTCCAGGTGCTCCTGTGGGTCTGAGTGGGATAACCACGGGGAGCACGGGCCTGACACCCTCTCTGACAGGCAGGCAGCCGAGCTTGTTCCATTAAGTTGTGACTAATTGGAGAAAAATGAATTTGAAGAAATGCGTCATTTTTAGAAGTAAAAATAACAAATGGAACATGAAAACTATTTGAAGTGACATCATCAGAGAAATAAAACCAGAGGCACACACAATTGATTGCCGCTGGCGGAGGGTTTTGCAGTAAAACATGCCTGCAGCTCGTGAGGCAGGGAAAGCACCAGGCAGGGGCCTCTCTGAGGACAGGCACTGAGTGAAGGTGAGTGAAGGTGAACTATGGGACAGTCTCTCCTAGAGCAGCCCCTCTGCTGGATGTTCATGCCTCTAGTCACTGGCTGCATCTATAGTAAGTACGCTCTCCTTGGGAGTGGGGATCCTGACTTGTCGTTTCGTAAATCTTAACAGTAATGCCAAAAAAATTGTTCTCAGGGTGCTTTCTCTGACATTCCCAGAGGTGAAGTTCTCCCTGGGGATATTATCTGTGAAGGTGTGCAGATAAATCAGCTGCATGTGCGGCATGGGATGCTTTAAATGCAGGCAGGGCAGTCACGTTGGAGCGTGCACCCGCTCTGGCATGTCACCCACGCCGTGTGTGTTTCTGCCTCCTTACTCACTGTAGATAATGGAATGGGAGATTTATGGTACTGATGGGAGACATGAGTGGTGTTATCAGGATCTCTTAGATAGCTGGGTGGTCAACTTAAACTTTGTTTTCTCAGCAAATACAAAGTTGGCAATTGGTTGAAAACCCCAGAGTGTGTGTGCAAACACAAGTGTCCTAGTCTGGCTGAATTATACAAAGCCTTGGTCCAGGTCTTTGGTGTGGTTTCCATATCGCTCTGATCTTACATTTCATTAGATTAAGTCATTCCTTAAATTTTGTTGTTATATTATGGTACACTGCTGTTCATTTGAAAAAAAAATCTCAGTCTGTAACAATTCCTCCAGCATGTACAAAGCAACACTGCCACCTCCCTGAGGAGTGGAGGACGGGCTGTGCATTGTCCCTGCATTCTTTTCAAATGAACCAGGATTGTTTTTAAGGCTCATTTCTGGTTTATTTGTAAGCTGGCTTTATTATGGAACCAACAGCAGGCTCTCTAAACATATTTTTCAAATGATTCTCCAGGAAAAGTAAACTTTGTGGGTCTTTGCATCCATAAATTCTCGTGCCTTTCAGCATTTCTAGGACAGTTAATTTGTGGGGCATTCTTTGGTTCATGATTTATTCCCACAACTGCTATCCCTTGCTATGGCCTGGTGAAAGGCAGGCTTCCCATTTGACAGGATTTCTCTGCCTGTTGATTTTGTTGGAGCTGGGCTCATCAACATCCCAAATGCTGTCTGCACCTCGCTGTCCTCAAGGCTGTAACCACTGCTAACATGGGACATGGCCACAGCACAGCCCTGGTTGTCACAGAGTGATGAGGGAGGATGCTGAGAAACCCAAATAAGTCAATAAAGCAGCTTTCAGTCTGTGCTGGATTTTTAATAACATGGGGAACAGAGAAGAAAAAGCAAATATTTAATGGAATATCTTTTCTTTGCAAAGTCTCTGTGGCACAGTTTCCTGTGGTGTCCCTGCTCTGTGTGCAGGATTTGTCAGCTGTAAAGCTCCACAGGCATGGCAGGAGGTGCAGAGCTCTGATTTTCCATCCTCCATTCTCTTGGAAGAGGGTTGGGAGCCTCAAACAGCCCGTGGCTGTGCCCCACACCATCCTGCATGGCTCAGGGGCTGTGAGAGGGGACAGCAGCAGTTCCAGAGCTGCGTGGCTTGCACAGAGGCAGGAGGGATCAGCCCCAAGGAGCCATGCTGAGCTGTGCTCCATCACTTTGGGAATGCTCCTCAGCCAGCAGGTGTGAGGCTCTGTTTGCTCCAGGTTTGGGAAGGATTAGCTGTGCTCCATGACTCGTGATGAGTCTGAATCCCTTTTGAAGGATTCCAGGCCAATATTAAAGAGGGCTGAAGTAAATCTTAATAACTAAACTTGTGCTGTCTCTCCCTGGCCTGCACAGGCTGGGCAGCTGAAGGAGCTCTGTGAGTGTGTTTAGGGGAGCTGGACATACATCACTTGATGTTTCCTCCTCCCAGAGTCCCTTTGATCTCTGTGTTAAGCAGCAGGCAGAGAGTGGAGCAAGGAGGTGGCAGCTGGAAGATGGTGGCACTGGTGTGGCTCCAAGGCCAGCTTTCCTGTCCCTCACTTCCATCCAGCAGCAAGCACAAGTGTGTTTATGCAGGAAAGGCTGTTGTGATGGTGGCTGTGGCTTTTCTCAGCGTGCCCAGCCATGATCCCTTGAGTTCCAGAGCTGTTTCTGCTGTTCTTGTCTGTCCAGTGGTCCCAGTGAAGGACACAGCTGTGCCATGAGGAGGGAAAGTGGCTATCCCAGTGCCAGGCATTGAACCACCCCAGAGGAGAGGGAAAATCACCCCCACACTGCAGTCCTGCAGGGTCCTGCTTCCCTTCCTCAAGGAGCTGTGTGCCTCTTTATTTTGTCTGTTTGGCCAAAGAGAAATATTCTGATCTGAGGTCATCCTGACAAATTTTGCAGGAATGATGATTCTTCAAGTCTGCCATGCTGTCCCATACGATCCAGCTATCAATGGGATTGCACTAAATCAACAGGACATAGAAGGGCTGTTCCAGAAACACATTTAACTCTTCCCAGAGATGATCATTTATGTGATCTCTTGCTCTGAGTACAAACCAGTTGTCCTCCAGCACTGGAGAAGCTTTGGCATCAGACAAAGCAAACAAAGCTGACAAATGCAGATCCAACCTTAGCCCTGACCTTTTTTTGCAGCTATATGGAGAGCTTACAAAGCCAACATCTGCCTAACTTCAGTGGAAACTCAGATAATTGGTGAGAAGTGAAAGTTTAACACTATAAATAAGGCTCTGCATGGCTTGGCATGGGGTACCAAGACCTAATTGTGGACACATGGGTGTGGGTTTGCAGAGAGGACTTGCCTGGCTCCATGGAGGAAAGAGTTCCTGCTTACACATAGGGCTTGAATGAAACTGAGATGGGAGAGGAATTTATTCTGTCTGCCTCCAGTGGCCAGAGCAATTTGGACCAAAATCAGCAGGTCAATAAAGGCAGAAGAGAATAGGTCTTGGTAGGGTGTTTGGCCAGGCGTTTTGGCAGAACCTTTATTTTGATTTTTCTGGTGTCCAAAGATAAAGCATGTGCCTGTGTTTCCTCTCAGATCATGAACTCATGCAGCTCACAGTCAGTGTGTGTGTGTTCAAACATGGCCTTGCTGTAGCTGATGAGACTGGTTTGTGAAGTTTTTATAAAACACTGACTTGATGTAGATCAGTTTGTGCTTGGTTTCGTTTTTCTGGCATTTTGTCCCTCGGTGTTTTAATGGGCAGTCAGGTTTAATGTTTCTTTGTCAATCAAAGATCTTGTAGCACAAATCTCTCTGGGCTGCTCATGGGGGTGCTGAAAGGGTGACTCCAAGGGGAGAGCCTGTTCTCAGGACCATGGTGAGGTTGGGTTGCACATCATGATGGATTCAGAGGGATTTCACAGCTGGTTGTGCCCATTTGGTGCTCTGGGCTCCTTGCTAGCCAGCTGTGCTAGCCTAGTGTCTCTTCCAAGGTACCTGAAGACTTGGGGTTAGAAAAGAAGTTCTCACCCATGCAGAGATTTTTCCGTGCAGTCTCCCAGCTAACACACACATTTGTAGCACATCTGTCTATTAGAAGTAAAATGTTCCCAGCTCTGAAATCATCACAGGCAGAGATAGAGCAGTGCCCACCTGGGAAAGGACTGACCAGGGCTGTCCTGGCTGAGCAGTGCCATTTCCAGCTTCATCTCTGCTCACACAGGTCCCACAGAGGTCATGTTAAGGATAACACAGGAGACATGATGTTACAGAGAAATCACTTTGAGGCTCGTGGCTCAGATGGGCTGAGATGTGTGGAGGGGCTCAAGACAAAGTTTGGCCAAGGTATTTTTGAAAAACAGCAGCTCCAGAAAAGTCCTGGCTGGCTTGTCACCCACTCAGAATCACTCCAGGCTGGAAGGAAGGAGCCCCACAGCCCTGCCCACATCTGCTTTGAGAGCTGACTCCTGCTCCTGGTGCAGCTGTGAGGAGCAGACACAGAACTGGGAGGGCCATGAGCAGCATGATTGAACCTGCCAGAGTGCCAGCCCTGACCCTGCCCTGCTGGGACCTTGCTTGGGATACTGAAAGGACCCCATGGGACAGCTCCTCTTCCTCAGCAGGCTCACACACAATAGCTGACAAATTTTAAATGGAAATAGCTGACAATTTTTAAATGGAAAGCCAATCTCACAGCCAGCAGCAGTCCTGCCTTTCAGAGGGGGCTGGGTCCAAAACAAGGCCAGGAGTTGGACTTGGTGATCCCTTCCAGCTCTGGATATTCCCTTATTCCAGGGCCACTTTCTGGCAGTGGCAGTCAGTATGTGAGCAGGGCCAGGTCAGCAGCTGCCTCTGGTCCACACCATGGTCTGTGTTTCACCTTTGCTCAGCTGCTGCTTGGTGGGGAACAGAATTGCTGCTGCTTCCCCCTCCCCACTCCCAGTTTGTTACCACCCCAGCAGAGCTGTCCCCATCCTGTACCCACTGAGGTGCCCACACTCCCCAAGCCCCAGACTGAGCCACCAGGGCAGGAAGGAGCTGCTGGTGGCAGAAGGGACAGGGACTTGTTGCTGCTTTTTCAGTGCTCTCCTCCTTGGAGACACAGCAGCCCCAACTCGGGGTCAGGCCAGCTGTAGCTTTGCCTGCCTGTCCTAGTCCTGACCCCCCTAAGGAGGGCATTTCCCCCTCTCCATGGGACACAGCCCTGGGCTGCTCAGCCAATTCCCCAAGGACAGGATGGTGCTGGAGTGCTCTGGCAATGCCCCAGTGTGGGGATGCTCTGATGGAGGTGATAAAATCCCATCACACCCTGATTGTCTGCTGAGCACCAGCCTCCAAGTGTCCTCAGAGGCTGAAGGAGATGCCAAATCTGCCTCTTCTGGGGTGGGGAGAAGATGTGAACATGTCTTTTCTGTGCATCACCAGGCCAGGCAAGGCCCAAGCTGTTCTCTGAGCTTCCTCTAGCTCTGAGCTCAGCTCCAGGACAGGAGGATGACTCAGGACTGTAACTCACAGGGCTCAAAGCTTGTGCCACCAGAGGCAGCTGGGGCTGGTGCCAGGAGGTCTTGTTTGCACCCCAGCCCTACTGCACAGGACATTTCTGCAAGCCAATATCAGTGGATGGGGCTTGGTGCTAGCACAGAAATGAGGAGTATTTATTTCTAACAGAAAATTCACTGGGATAGGTCTGCCCTGTCTCTCATCATCCTCAGGGAGGGTTTCTCATCATGGGGTACCTCAGGAGGGAAAGAAAGATGTCTGTCAGCTGGTGGTGGCACAGGATGAGCAGTGTGCAGGCAGGCAACAAGGATGGAGAGTCTCTTCGGTGCTCCAACCATCATTTTTCACATGATAAATATTCCTCTGAAGTGTGAGCAGAGCAGTTCCCTTGTTGAAATAAGAATGTTCATGAAAATTTAATTCCCATACGGCACTCAGGCCTGCAGACATGAGCAAAGGAAGAGGAAAGGAATGGAGCTGGGGTCAGACACAGCTCCAAGGAAAGCAGCAGCTGAAGGGTGGTTTGGATGGTGCCAGGGGCTCCTCCAGCCCTGGTTTTAAGCACTGTTGGTTGTAAGAGAAAGGTGCAAGCCCTAAGCTGGCATCTGCCAAGCTGCAGCACTGCCTCAGAGGCTGCTCCCCTCTTGTTCAGGGATGTTCAGCATTTTTGTCTGACCCTGTCCATCCACTACATTTCTTCAAATGGTTTGCAATAGGCCTTGGAAGTCCATAAAAATATTTAAGAGTCAAGTCATGCATCCTACTGCATGAGGAGGTCCAGAATGGGATGAATATTTGGTGACTGAAGTAACTCTTTCAGCTGTTGAGTGTGTGCTGCTCCTGGAAGTGGCTGCTACTTGCACTGGCCTGTCCTCACGTTATTTGACAGCATCACATTTTCCTCCTTGCCCTGTAGCTTAAGGATGGGGCAGATTTAGGAGATTTGTAAGCTCAGCATGGCCCATGATGAACTCCCTGCTTAGGGAAAGAATTGCTCAGCTCTCTGTCACCCCAGAGTAGTGGGTGACATTGCTGCCTCACAGCCTTTCTACCCCTCAGCACAAAAACCAAGCTGGAGATCTTTTCATCATCATCCCATAGCCCTAGACCCCTCTGTGACAGTCTCACCACAGGGCAGGAGGCAGAGGAGGGGCTGTGAGGTGGAGAATGGACCAGCTGCAGGGGGATCTGGGGAATCTGGATACCCAAGTGTTGCTCCTGCAATGGGACCTGGGGGATCTTGGTGCCCAAATGCTGCTCCTGCAGTGGGAGAGCTGTGGCAGTGAAATCCCCAGGTTTCCATCACTTCTTGCAGGAGGGCAGATGATGAATCCCACACCCACCACAGGGGAAATCATCATCACCCTCCCAGCTATGCCCCAGGGGGATTTGTACCCTCTCCTTTTCCTCCTCACTAGCCTGGCTGGCAGCTGGCTGCTCCAGGGGGCTGGGGAATTGTTTGTTTACTAGGAAGGGCTGGGAAATAAGCAGGAGCAGCAGGGAATGTGGGCACAGACTGTTGGAATCCCCTTGCCTGTGTGGATGTGGAACAGCACTTGGTCTGGCTGTGTGGGAAGTTGGAGTGAAATGGTGCAAATAATTTGGCACCCGTGGGAGCTGTGAAGGGAAGTGGTAGAGGATCTTCACTCAGATATTTTACAGCCTGCTGGGGCACTGCTGTGGCCTTGGCAAGGTGCTGTGTGTGACTGGAGAAGGCTTTGTTGTCTCTGGTTCCTGTTCATAATGTGGTGTTGTGTGTAAATTGCCTCAGTTGAAGGCAAGATTCTCTAATTCCTGGGACACTGGACCAGAACTAGGAGAGTAGAGAACCATTCTTGGGTGAGCAGCAGATTGGTTTTATTCTTGGCCAGTTTCTGACCTCCCTGAGCTCACCTATTCCATAATGATCCATCTCTTCCTCAGGGAAAGTGCACAGTACTGTGAGCAGTCACAGAGAAGGTTCTGTGCAGCGAAACTGGGGTACAGCTCACACCTTTAACCTGCCTGCATAGCCCAGGAGGAAACCCAGGCACTCCCAGAGCAGGGACTGCCCCATTTGCTGTTGAGGGTCCATCAGGGGGTGACTTCTGCAGATAACTGGGTGCAGTGTAGGTACCCAGAGAGTGAGGGGCTAAATCCAGGTCCACAGGCAGAACCAGCACTCACTGGTTCCATAGGAAAGGTGGTGAGGGTGGTGCCACGGGGCACAGGAGGGTTACAAACCCCCTGGCAGCAAGGTTTGCCAGTGATTTCAGTCACCATCTTCCCCCTGGGTTCAGAGAGCAGCACACACACAGATTTTACCACATACTGAAGGCAGAGGAGCAGCACACACACAGACTTCACCACATACTGAAGGCTGCATTTTTCCCTCACAGCAAGAATCTATCTTTGGTGTCCAAAGAAGTGCTGGAATTTGGCAGGAGATCATTGTCCCATAGGAAGCCTTCACTCAACATTTGCCCTGAATGTGAAACATGGTTTGTCCAGAGGACATGGAAAAGTCACAAGCAGTGGCATCCCAGGGAGCCCCATGCTTTGGGGACTGCTCTGGGAGGGATTATTTTTCAGCTCCATCCCACATCCCAGGAAAGCTGTGTTGTGGACACGAGCTGTTGGCAGAGTAGGTTGCTCCCAAGGACAGAAACGCTGTTCTTGCCTTTCTTTTCCTTCCAAGCCCAGCTCAGTCCAGGCAGCTGAGGAGAAGCAGCCTGGGGCTGTGCTGGTGGGCTGGGATGTGTGTGAATGTTGTGACTGAGGTGTCTGTAGTCGTGGCAGGCTGAGCTTCCAGCAGGACAGCAGGGAATGAGCTTTGTGTTTTCTTGAAGACAAATTTGGAAACCAAAGGTGTAGAATCTGACTAACTCAAAGTACAGGCATGGTTCCCAGGGTGATGGGATGAGCTGAATTGTTCCCAAGGCTGGTCCAGCAGTGCCACAGCTGTGTGCCACACACAACCCCTTCACACGTTGTCCCTGTGCAATCCTGCCCCTGTCCCTGACTCTCTCTCTCTCTCACAGTTTTACAGCTCCGGCTCCAGCAGAGAAGGACCCGTGAGCAGCTGGCAGACCAAGGCATCATGCCACGTGAGTACCTCCTCTGCCTCTTCATCCTGGCTCATCCTGGGCACTGCTGGGGCACTGTGTGGTACCAGCTGCCTGCTCAGAGCTTCCATAGGCTGCAGAGATGTGGTGATCCCTGGTGCTGTGCATTTATCACACAGACTGTGATGGCCCTGCTCAAGCTGGAGTCAGGAGGGATGCTTGCCTTACACCACCCAAAATTTCAGCTGCAGAGCTCCCCATCCCAGAGGTCACTTAGCAGGACAAGCAAATCCAGCTCCAGCAGGGGAGTCACAGAGCTGTGCACAAGGCAAGGGCAGAGAATCTCCTGCGCTCTTGTAAAGGCCAGGAACCTCTGTGACAGGACAAGGGAGAGGATGAGGGGAGTCATTCCAGGCAGCTCTGGGAACTGCCTTGGCCCCAGTGCACACAGCAACCCCTGGAGGGCTGGGACATCCCCAGATGTGTGCCCAGGCAGGACCCCACAGGGCAGAGCTGTCACTGCACCCCTGCGGCCAGTGAAACCCCATGGGGGCTGCTTGCTGCAGAGTGACAGATGTGTTCCCCCTCTGCCCCCACCCAGCCCTGCTCACCTGGCATTCCAGCTGAAGGACAAACCCCAGGACAGCGTTATCATGAAACCATTCTGCACCAAAAAGAGCTCAAAAAGTCAGAGAATGAACACCATCCCCTTCTGCACCTGCAGGTGCATCATGAAAGCTGTAGCAGCACTGGAGAAAGGATGTTGGGAGCTCAGTCCTGCTCAGTGGAACACTCCATCCTGACCTAGCTCAGGCTCCATGTGCAAATCTGTGCTTACCTGGGACCCAGGTAGAGGATTCTCCTTTCTGTCTCATCAAGGACCCTTGGGGTCACTGCTGAGATCACCATTTTCCAGAGGCTGTGGCACTTCTGTCTCTTCTGGTTGCCCCTGCAGGCTGTGATGCAGCTCCTGCCTAAGCGGCAGAACACCACCTCTCTAAGAGCATGGCCCTGGCACTGCTTACTGCACCCTGTCCCTCTCCTGTCCCTGCTGGAGGATTGTCCTGAACCCCAGACACCTTCTCAGGACATTCTGGTCAGCACCAAGCATCAGAAAAACTTGAGCAGGATGACAAAAATAATATCAATCATTTTAAGACTGATAAATGCACACTCTCCATTTTTTACCTGCTTATTTCTTTAAGCATTCAGATTTTATGCTGCCTGCCACAAAAGGGCAGGAACTTTGATCACAAGACTCCAGGGGCTGAAGATTTAGACAAAATGCTGTGATATTTGTTAGAGCAATGCAGGAACATGGGGCAGCAGTGCCCCCTGAGAGGTTTGTACACCTGGGGCTGCTCTGTGAGGCTGTGCTGTCACACGTGGCACCTCACACCTCCAACCTGACACATTGCAAAGGGTTCAGCCAAATCTCTCTGATGGCAACTGAAGGGTATTTTCCTCTTACTTAGAGCTTCTTTGCACTCCCAACTTCTAGGCTGACATTTTGCAGTCTGGTTTCTGTCCAAGAAGACCATTTTGGGAAACTTGAGCACGGTTCACTCACTGAAAGTAATAGAAGAAAAGGCACTTATGCCATTATAAAAACAAACAGGCAGAATTTAACTGCTGAATTTGACATCAAGAGGAAGTGTCAGATGTTAGCATTTCATACATGGGAGCCCCAGCCAGTTTCCCCATGGCTTGGGCATGTGCAGACATTCCTTAGGAAAAACAAGGCTTTGTTATCTGTATCTTCCCATGCCATATTGGTTCTGAGGACCAGCAGGTGAGTCCCCCTGGCTGTGATGGACTGCAGAATTACCTGTGCTTGAAGGCTCTGCTGCTGCACACAGCCACCCCCTCACCCTCACTGAAACCTTAAAACAGCTTTCCCCAGGTGATCAGCACCACACCCAGCACCTCTGCCCTGTGCCCCCAGCCCTCACCCATCTCATGCTGAAGTGTCATCCCCTGACAATTTCTCTGACCTGGCATTGCTAGCAATGTCTTAATTTGTTCTGCAGGCTGATACAAGCTGCAGCACCCCCCTAATTCCTCCAAAAACCTTGGTAAATTACTAAACTCTGCAGCACTCTCCTCTGGAATAGCCCAGCAATGGTCAGTGCCTGTAGCACACTGCCAACACCAGAACCTCGCATCAGCAGGGCTGGGGAACTCCTCTCTCTTGCTAACTCCATTTTCTCGTGTGCACTGTTTAATTTTGCTTCTGGTTAAACCAACTGTCACCAGGGCTGGTGGCTGCTCACTGGAGTGTGGCACAGCAACACCAGCTTGTCTGTCTGTCTGTCTGCTTTCCAAATGGCAGGAGCAGAAATGTGCCCTCTGTGGCTTTCTGTCACTCACTGGATGATGTTCCAGGGGTTGCCTGGGTGTTGACTACCAAAAGTCAATTCAGAGGGCCCCCAAAGCTTTCCTGTTTCTCCCCAGTCTTCTTTCCATCCTCCCCTAGACTGATGGGGGATAACAAGGCCTGCATGAAAATAATTTCTGTCTTTATTGGATCCCATTCAGAAGATGAAAAGAGAATTTCTGTTGCCAGACAGAGTTGCAGCACTGTTTCTGTGGGTCAGGACACCTTCCCCTTCCTTGTCCCAATGGGAACAGTTAGTTTTGTCTGCTTACACAGACAGAAAAGAATTTTTGTAGGATGTGAGAAGTATTAACCCCTTCACCATGCAAATTCTGCCTCAGTTTCTATTCCACCACAGTAAAAAGGGGAATGTGCAAGATTCCCCATGACTGCAGTACAGGCTGCTCCATGGGGCTGGTGCTCACTGGTCCCAGAGCCACCAGGGATTATTTTTGGGAGCACCACTGGGTAAATCCTCTTTGAAATTAGAAGATGCTGAGGACATGTTCTGCTGCTTGCCATGGGAGGTCCCAGATATCATAGCTGCTTCTGAGCAGGGGACAGGACAAATGTCAGCCATGGTCAGTGACGGAAGAGGGATAGAGGAGCACTGGCAGTGCCTCACTGGAGGCTGCACACAGACCTCAGGAGCTGAGTCAGGTGTTAATCCTCCTGCTGACCTCAAGCCTCAGCCACCTGCAGGTTTTCTTTTAGCTGAGGTCCCTCACAGGTGTTTGCTCTTCCCAGATCTGTCTGCCGGAGCTGTGGTGCCTTCCATACCTGCAGGGAACATGACAGGGAAAGGATTTCTCTGCTCTCTGCCGTGTCCCACAGAGCACTGTGTTTCAAAGCCTGCACCCCTCCCTGCCCACGTGCCTCCTGCTCTCCCCATGCTCTCCATCCCCCCTGCTCTCTTGCCACGGACTGGCTGAGAGCATGGGATTTCCCAGAGCTTTCCTGAGTTATTTTTAGTCAGCACAATAAAGAGAACAGCTAGTTTGTGTTGCTATTTTTATGGCACTCATTAAAACGCTGTTGCTGAATATCCTGGTGGCTGCTTGCTTCCGCTCCTGTGCTGACTGCTCCTCTCTCTTTCCTGTTGCAGCACTGAAAAGCCCATCTGCATTCCATGAACAGCGAAAAAGTCTGGAGAGAGCCAAGGTAACTCCTGCAGAGGGAAGTTCCCAAAGAGGGAACACACCCAGGGGCTTGCTTTGCATGAGTCACAGGGTTTGAAAGCACCTTGCATCACTGTCCCCTCCTCTGGCACCCTCCACGCTGGCCCAGCGGCCAAGGATGAGGGCAGGGCACTGCTCTGCCTCCAGAAATGCTGCCAGGCTCACAAATCCCCTTCTCTGAGCAGGGATGGTTTAGAAAAAGGGCAAATGGGGCATCTGTGTGCTGAGCTGTGGGGTTTTACAAAAGGGTTCAGCAGGGCAGGGTTCAGCATGGCTTTGTCAGTCCTTGCAGTAAATGTCCAACCAGTGGAGCTGCTGCTTCCCCCCAGGCAACATCCACAGCTGCTCCTCCTGTGCTGGCTGCTCTGCACCCCTGGCAGCCAGCTCAGAGCAGGGAACAGGGTCAGACAGGGTGCAGGGCAATGCAGGGGCCACCTCAGCCTGTCCCCAGGGAACTCACACTTGTCACCAGGCAGGAGCTCTGCCTTTCAGCTTGGCCATTAGGACACAGCATCCAAGGCAGTAGCCATTTCCAGGAAACTTTGCAACTCTGTGATCTGATCACTTTTTGGGAAATCACATTGGTTTTCCAGTCACCAGCAATGCAGCCTTGCTCAAGCTGGAGGGATGATCCCAGAAAGGGAAGCAATTCATCATGCAGGTTTTGCTTGAACACGAGAATTTGTTCCATTAATCTGCAAAATGTGCTTGCAGTCACATAGGAAAGGACCTTTGCAAGGAAGAATGATTGTGAAACACAGGGAAGTGCTCTTCTGAACTTAAACACACTCCAAATCACTTGCCCCAAGTCTCCTGTGGTAATAAATGGCGAGCATAAGAAATACAGCATGACTCTGAAAGATTAGTATGCTTAAAAAATTTCAAGCAATCCAAAGTATCCTTGAAGTGTCATATATTTTACAGTTAAAGTATACATTTGTGTCTCTTTGTCTTTCTCTTCAAAAGCTTTCACTGGCTAGTTGCCTGGGGAAAGGGGAAGGATGGTCTAGTCCATCCCAAACCATGAGCATGTTTAGAAAGTGCTAATGAAGGCACTGAGCTCAGCCCATAATAAACATTATTCCCTTGCAAAGCTGCCCTGCTTAGACCTGGGAAGGGGAAGATCAGCAGCTGTTTCCAGACAGTCACTCCAAGACATTTGTTGTTTAGCTGATACTGCCCCAAGCTGATGTTGTGCAAACAGAAAGCAGATAACTGTTCATGTGTTGTGAAAGCTCCTCTGCTTCAGCTCACATCTGAAGGGTTCATCGTTTGCACCCCAGAGACACAAATGCAGCTCGTTAACAGTCAAGGTCCAAAGGAACTGGAGTCACAGCAGGAACACAGCTGTGGGACAGCAGCTGGAGCTGAGCCCAAGGCAGGACCTGATCTAAGAATTAGTTGGACATGTACTATGTGAGTTTAAATACACTCAGGTGCAGACACCAGCTTGCTCTGACCTGGCACAGGAACCAGGCAAACCCACATGGTGCAAGCACAGGATTGTGTTGGTGGAAATAAGCTGTGAAAAATATGGGGGAAGGGTGAGGCGTTGTAAAGACTTTAGTAAATAAAATGTCTATTGTTTGTTTAAACATGTCACTGGCTATGTTAGAGGCTGGCACCAGGCCAGCACAGCAGGCTTTGATGTCCTGTAATAGATTCCTGGGGTGGAGGACAGAGAGCAGGCTGGCTTTCCTGGGGCTGTCTGGCTCAGCACAGAGAGCCTGCAGGGTGGCTGCCCCGGAGCAGAACAGCCCCACTGGGCAGGTCACAGAATCCACAGAATCACTGGGTTGGGAGAGACCTTCAAGACCATCAAGTCCAAGCCCCAACACCTCAACTAAATCCTGGCCCCCAGTACCACATCCAGGCTTTGTTAAACACACCCAGGGATGGGGATTCCACCACCTCCCTGGGCAGCCATTCCAGAACTCTATCACCCTTTCTGTAAAACATTTTTCCCTGCTATCCAACCTGTATTTCCCTTGGTGCAGCTTGAGGCTGTGTGCTCTGGTTCTGTCAGTGCCGCTGGAGAAAGAGCCCAGCCCAACGGAGCACAGGCACCTTTCAGGAGCTGTGAGAGTGATAAGGTCCTGACTAAGGAGCACTGACAAACACCCACTGCCATGAGCTGTTCTGGAGCTCTCTGAACTGAAACCCAGCCCAAGCTGTTCTGCTGAGGTTTGAGCACACTACTGTGTGTATTCAGAGTGGGTCTCTTTTTTTTCTGTAGCACTTTAAAAGCTGTTTTACATCCTGTGCCCCAACAGCCATCTCAGCTCTGGGCTGACCCACCTCGCCTCCCCTCAGCCCCCTCACTGATCTCATCTCTGACCCAGGGGTGATGTCTGTGGCTGCTGCCCAGGCCCTTCCATGGGCACAGACCAGGGCTGAGCTGACACCCTGTGCTCTGGGTTTGTCGTTGTGGCTCAGCTGCTGACTACTGGATTCTCCAGAGTCTTTTACGCTTCCCCAGTGCATGGAGGAACTAATTTCTGCCCAGGGTCCTGTCTAGTGACCACTGCAGGAGCATCTCTGGTGCATTAAATCTTCATCCTCTGCAGTCCCTAATCTCTTGGTTTAGCTGTGGCTGTGTCCTGACCACAGCCCTTCCCAAATGTCCTCCTTGAATCTGTAGCACATGAATTTCAGATCATCAGCTGTGCCAAACCCTGGTGTAGTGTAATCAGTTAGCCTTGAATGATTCAGAATGAGGGAGTATGTCTTCTATCTTTCAAGGCATTAACTAATATATTGACTAGCAGGAAAATTTGCTTTGTAACAGGATTTGATTTATTCTTGTTTAGACTCTGAGCCATTTCCAATTCCTCTGGTGATCCAAAGCTATGCTCCTTTTTTATATTAGTCTTATCCAGACCAAATTTCTCTGGCTTGCATGTGAGAAAGCCATGGGAGATAATGTCAAAACATGCTTTGAGTCAAGCTGCATGATATTCATTGTTTATTGCTGTACCAGAAAACTGTCATTTCTCCATAGAAGGAATTTTGGTTGGTGTGATGGGATTTGTTCTCAATAAATCCATCCTGGCTGTTGCTCACCTCCATGCTATCTTCAAAATTCATTTCTATAGATTGTTTGATTACTTGGTTCAATATCTTGCTGTCTGCTTTATAATTTCCTGGTTTCTTCTTCCCATCTCTTTTAAAGCCAGCAATTACTCTCCTTTGCCCAGTTTCCTGGAGAACCATAGATAGCTGCTATTTCTCCAGCCTTGTGTGTCTCCAAATTGTTTGGGAACATTTAACTCCTCTGAGTACCCTCTAACCTGCTCTCCAACCTGACAACTGGGGCTTCGTCTCTTTTCTTGCCGAAGGTTCTTGGCTGAGTCACCTGTTTGATAAAGAGCCATTTGTCTTTTTAGTGGGGATGGTTTTTAAAAGGCATTAAATCCTGTAGCCATCTCAGCAGTATGCTGAGAATTATTTCTCCTGTTTATGGAACACAGACAGCACTTTCCATTGTCTGATCCTGGCTGCAGAATCCTTATAAGATCTTTTTCTTATGATCCTGTACATTTTGTCCTGTGGATTTCCAATTTTGCTCCAGCTGCTTGTATTATTCTTTTATATTTCTCCTTAAGATTTTAGTCTCTTTGAACTATATATGATTTTTGTGCTATTTCTTCTTGCAGCTCAGCTTAGCTAAGAGCTTGTATAAGTTGAGCTCTAGCTTTTCTTCACCAGGGGATAAGCTTATATTTGTATTTTTGAGGTGATCTGCCCTCAAGGCTCTTTCTTGGCCCTTATGGATGGTGTTCCTGTAGCTCTGTGTGCCTCTCTGTTCCCAAAGCCATGAGGGAGTTGGCACAAGGCTCCAGGACCGTGTCCAGCACCAGCTCAGCTGCACTGACTGCAAAGCAGATTTTCCCAACCCCACATCACAGCTTGGGTGGGGAACCACAGAGCACAGGGGCTGCAGGGCTGCAGGAAGGTTAACCCTGGTGGCTGACCTGGGTTCAGAGTCTGAGTGGGTTCATGACTTGTTCTGCCTGATGTCTCACCCCAGAGTGCTGGGCTTCCCACAGAAGCCACTGCTGCCAGGGCATTCTGAGCATCTCAGAGGTGACATGATGGGCAGGGCCACCACTCCCAGGGAATAGTGTCACCCTTCCTGTGTTCTCATTACATTTTAGGCATCAGAAGCTCAGTAGTGATGGCAAAGGGCACAGCGTGGGCTCAGTGAACACTCAGTAGCTTCATGCACCTTGTTCTCTTTCTGAGGAGCTTCTGCCCAAGAACAGGACAGTGTTTCAGGGATGAGGAATGTCATTTAGGAGCTCACTCAACCCAGCTTGTGATAAATTCAAAAGAATCATGGGATGGCTCAGGGGTAGGTGGTCTCAGTACCTTAGTGCTGCTCCAGGCAGGTAACTTTGCATTTGTGTTCTGCAGACTGAAGATTATCTCAAGCACAAGATCAGAAGCAGGCCTGAGCGCTCAGACCTGGTCAATATGCACATTCTGCAAGGTAAGAGCTTCTCCCACACACTCCTTGTGTCTCCTGCCCTGGGACTTGTGTTCCTCCTGCCCTTCTTGTGTTCCTTCAGGAATCTCATTGCCATTACCTTGTTCCAGCTGCTCATGGGGGACAGACTCAAATGGGACACATATGAAATTGTGTCCAGAGCAGCTGTTAGGAAGCAGGACACACTTTTATTTCCTGACAGACACAGTCCCAAGGCCACCCAGGCTTTCTCCCATCTCTGGCAGTGTAAGATGCTGTAGGGAACAGCTGTGAGAGAGAATTCTGTTACACACCAGTGCCAATATCTGATCATGAAGAGCAAACCCAGGGAATTTGTTGTCCAGGGAACTGAAATTCCTACAGCAGATCATTGTAACACCTTCCCAAGCTGGACATCTTTTGTGCTGCTGTAATTCTGGATATTCTGTGTGACAGCCCGTGCAGTCAGTGACCCAGGCAGGGCAGTATGAAAAGCCCTGCTATCAGTCTGTGAGCCACAGCAGCTCTCTCCTCTCCCATCCTGGTGTTCCCTCTCAGGCAGAGCTGGCAGGGCTGGATCCCATCACAGACAGCAGAACACCACAGTGTCCCTCGTTATCTCCAGAGATAACAAGATCCTTAGAGACAGAGAGGATGTGCAGCCTCCCTCCCTCCTTGAGTCCTGTCACTTGCCTGGAAGAAGCAGATCACTCTCTGGCAGCTGTGACTGCTGCCCTCTGCTCTCAGCACAGATGCAATCTCTATTTCTTTTTCCCTCTGGCAGGCAGGAGGGCTGAGCCTGGGTGCAGTGCTGGATCAGTGTTGCTGCCTTGCTTTTCCCCTGGGTTTCCATCCCAAAAAAAGCTAGCACCATTGCTTGGTGAAGAGATGGAGAGAGCCCTTCCCTTAGGTTAAATAATGGAGTTGGGGGGCTGTTACCAGACCTGGAGGCTGCTGCAGTCCCTGGGCATGGACAGGGACAGAGGGACAGAGACTGCAGAGAGCAGAGTGCCTGGCTGTGCACTCAGCAAGATGCATGTTCTGCACACACCCCCTTACCTGCAGCCTCTGCTCACACCTCTGTCCATCCTGCTCTGCATTTCAGAGCTGTCTTGCCATACCCATTTTGTGGATTTGACTTACAAATCCATTTTGTTCACAACTGGAGCTAGAGGCGATTGGAACTGACCAGGTGACACAGTTTTGCATCATCCAAATGCTTTACAGGCCCCCCTTCTGTTACAGTTCACCTCAAGGAGCTCATTTGTGTTTACTGGTCTGTATAATGTGAATGGCCCTAGAGCAGCTCTCCTGACCTCCTGTAGAGAATTTCCATGGTGCCAAGCCCTGTAGTTCATGTTTCCAAAAATATCTCTTCCAGAGTGTTCAGGCTTTGAAGAAAGAACAACTTTAATGCAGCTGTTCTTACTTTAGACCCTCCAGGGTTCAGAAATTATCTGGTTTAGGATCCCATTCCCTCACTACTCATGCCTGGTCCAAGAGAGGAGCCAGACAGCTTTGTTCAGGAAATCTTTCTGTTTAAGTTGATATTCTTCTGTCACCCTTTAACAACTGGGATTTGCTCAGCTGGCTTTGGTAGGGCTGCAGTTTCCAGATCTACCTTTTGCTCTGCTCCTCCCCAGCTCATTTTTCCCTGAAGGCCTGGAGCACTGTAGTCATGTCACCTCCAAAAGTGCACAGCCAAAGGCTCAGCATTTTAAATTCCAGTGTAAGCCATTTACTCCAGTCAAGCACTGCCAGTGTTTCTATTCTCCAGCTGTTTCCCATCTGCACTAGCCCAAAAGGGGCCAATGGCAGAGAGGAGCTGGAGACCCTTTGGCCCTTGTTGGTGGCAGCTTGCTGATGAAGTTTCCATCACAGATCACTCCTGGTCCCTGCAGAGGCTGGTCCAGCTGTAGGCAGGGTTTGCAAGCCCAGGATGGTAGAAAGAGGCTCTTGTTTGGGAATGGAGAAGCTGGGCCTGAGGCTCAGAGATGTCCCAAATCAGCCCCACCCTGTGTAGCAGAGCAGATCCTGATGTGATTGGGGACATGGGTCCTTCTCTGAGCCTCAGGACCTGTGTCTGGTAGAGCAGATCCTGCTGTGCTGAGCCACGCTCAGGTACCACAGCCCCAGAGGCTGTGCTGAAGGGCACCACGTGGTCAGCTGGCTCCTGCTCTGTGCCAAAGCCCTCTGCTCATGGAGAAATCCACTGCTAGGAAGGGAATCCTGAGTGCCGTCCCCACAGGAGCCCCTGGTCCTGATGCCTCTGTTTGGCCTTTCAGACTCAGCTGCAGAGGGGTCCATCCAGTCCACCCAAATGAAGCTGAAAAGAGCCCGGCTGGCAGATGACCTCAATGAGAAGATCGCGCTCAGGCCGGGTCCTTTGGAGCTGGTGGAGAAGAATATTATTCCTGTGGACACAGCTGTGAAAGAGGCCATAAAAGGTACTGACAGTGAATGTGGGTGTTGTGTGTGTGCATGGAGTGGGGCAGGGGCTGCCACAGTGACTGCAGGAAGTGACCAGCCTGGATGTAAGAGCTGCTTTTATTGCTTAAATTGAATTATTTTCAGAGTAACCATCCCAGTCCAGCACAGCCTGGGAGCACAGAGCTCTCATCTTAGAGCAGTGACACAAACATGCACCAGAGCTCAGCCACATTCCCCCAGAAAGAACCTCCCTTCTTACACCCCTTCCCTCCCCAAGGCTCTGAGCACAGAAGTGATGCTGTTGGAGAGAGGACACTCCTTCCTTCAGCATGAGAGAGAACCAAACAGGGTTTGGTGGTGAGAGCAGCCCAGATTCTCCCACTCACGCCATGCCAAGCTCTCACATCCCAGTAAATGGGGGTGGAGTGGCCCCAGTTCAGGAAGGCTGAGGGTTCTCTTTTATTTTTTACCCCTGGTGCTAGTGGTATGCAGGACCCAGCAGAGCAGGATGCTGCATCCCTGGGGTGTGGAGCATCCTTGGGGTGCTAAATTGCTGGAGAATATAAACAGGGCACACTCCTACCAGCCAAAGCCAGCACTTCTCTTATTCCTAAGCTTGGTTTTCCTCCATCACCTCCTCCCACCAGAGGAGGGAGGAAGAATCATCCACAATTACTTCCCCCACGCTGCTGTGGGAGCCAACACAGAGCAGAAAGGTGACTCAGATTTCACCAGGGCTCAGTGCCAGGACAGGGATATCCAAAAGCAAAGAAAGGAGCAGGAAAGCCAGCAGGGTCTTGCAGTGACAGGGCAGCAACTCTTATTTTTGAAGTCTGGGGCTGTGTCCACAGGTCCAAAGTGGCACTCAGGTCTCCAGTGAGGAACTGGTCTCCAGTGAGGAACTGAGAGCTGCTCTCTTCTGTTGCTCACAGTTCCTCAATTAATGGGATCATTTCCATTTCTATAATCCCATTTAAAGGGTCTGTTCTGGAGCTCAGAGAGGCTGGGGACAATGGGAGGGTTTTGGGGAAGAAAGGGTCTGGGAGTGACAGGAGAAATAGCAAAAATGAGAGTTGAAACAGGAAGCACTTTGACTTTTATTTCATCTCAGAAACCATATTAAATGACATTAAATACTCCAGGCTCAGATATTGCTCTGTCCTGCCCCACAACTATTCCTGCTCTTGGTTTGGGGCTGTGAAAGGCAGGCTGTGTATGTACAGCAGCTTCTCCAGCCTGGCCCTGGAGCTGCTCCATTCCCAGCGTGTTGCAGCTCTCCTCTTTGAAGGTGAAATGTTCCAGGACTCTGCCTGAAGAGGAATCTTTAAGGAGAGTTCAAGTAAAATCTCCCCAGTCACTTACTAAAGGAGAGTACAATGGGGAAAAAAAAGGTTAAAAAAATCCCCCCCTTTATAAACATTTGAGGCAGTGTGAGCATGACTTTATCCCCTGGAGCTGAGGTTTGGAGACTGGAGAAATGAGCTTGAGTCTTGAACAGAGCATCTCTCCAGCTGCCTTGTCAGGAGCTGGTGGTAAACAGAGATTTACAGGACCAAACTGTTAAAAGTCTGGCTTAAAAAAGATTTGTTCAGTTTTAAATTTCTCCCTTTCACAATGCTGTTCTATCACATTGCTGGGGGAAAACATGTCCTTGTAAGCCAGTTCTATCCCATTTAGGGTCAAACATGCAGCCCATTAGGGTCCAGCATTAAGTTGCTTGGTACCATAGGGTGCCATGAGAAGAATATGGTGCAGAAACCATCCCTCAGGTTTCTGCAGAAGTTGAAGGATCCTCAAGCTCATTTCTGGAGTCAGAGGCACCTTGTGGTACTCACAATTTGGGGCAAAGGGCTGAACACATAGCGGAGATGAGTACTGGCACTTCTGAACGTTAAGCCTTTTGTTTTTGCAATACCAGAAAGATGACAGGGTTTAAAATCATTTTACTTTAACCTTGGAATCTCAACTGTTTATACAGTGGAAAGTTCAGCTGACGTGTTCCTCTAATCACCTCCGGCAGGGCGAGCACAAAGTGCCAGACCCCAACCGAAAGCCCCAACGTCCCAGTGACAGGAGGCCGCCAGTGCCCTGCATAGCTGAGCAGTGATACAAGGAACTTTTTTTACCAGGTCCTTGTCATCACTTTGTCCAATGCGCTCCAGAGGACAATACCCAGTGCATTAGAAACAGCCTGGAGCAAACACCATCCTGCCTGAGATTACAGCAGGGACATGGGACCCAGAAACAATACGCTCAGGCCGGGCTGGGTGAGAGCAGGGCAGATAAGGGAAGCATTCTCCATTGGCACAGCCCTGTGGTATCAAGCAGCAGGATGCAGCACATTCCTGTCATGCTCTGGGCTGTCGCTGTGTCCTGAAGGTCCCTTGTGCTCCCAGCTTTGGCACCACTTCCCAACACACACTCCCCTGCCAGCGCAGCAGGAGCCCTGCAGATCCACAGGTCTCCCTTGCTTGGAGTAATTTGTCCCAGGAGGGGATGTCCATGCTGGCCTGCAGCTGCCATGCAGCCCAGGTGGCTCATGCATTGCTGCAGCTGCTCAGGGACCTGTTTGGGTGCAGCCTCTGATGGAGAGGACACAGACCCTCTTTCCAGGGACAGTAAGTTGAACACAGCTGATCTCATTTCCCCAGCCCATGTCTGGGCAGCAGCTCAGGCAGGGAGCCAGGGCTCTGTCCTCGCCCACCCTGGCACCAGCAGCCACAGGGAGTGGAGATAACCCTTATCTCTCAGATAGGGCCAGGGGTCAGAGCAGGAGGTGCGTGTCGTTGAGAAGGTGCACATTGCTACAGCAGCAGGGACAGGTGGAAGCTTGTCCCCAGGCCCTTCCTACTTCCCCATTTGTCACCTCACTATCAGCGTGCCAAGCTGCCTGACAAATGCCAGACATGAGCACGAGGAGATTACGAGTGTGGCCACGCTGCTCCTTCCTCTACCCCCACCTGCAGCTCTCCTGAGGCTCACATGAGACCTTTTTTTCTCAGCACTTTATTTATCATCAAACCCCGGGGTCAAGAGCCCTTGCCCATCTGACTAGCAGATAGCAGTGCAGGAGCTGTGCAGGGAGGGCAGCCTGGGGCTGTCAGGCAGCAGAACTGGTTGGAGTTGTGTCCTGTGGGTGAAACCTGTGCACAGAGACAGCATGTGGGAGCCTCTGTGCACCTGCAGCCACGTCCACCCTTGTTGGCTCTTGTGCTGTGAGCAGATGGATCACATTCTGAGCTGATTTCAACCTCATTCCTTGTGCTGAGGACAGAGACCATGCATGGTGTGGGTGTTCAGCTGGGGTGTTCAGCTCAGGGAGGGTGAATGGTGCCCCTCTCCCATCCCAGCCCAGCAGAGGGGCAGGATGGCAGAGCCCCTCCTGCCCCAGCCCCACCTGTCTGCTGTGCTGGTGGAACGGGCTCCT